ACATCGCGAAGTTTCCTTGAGCCAATGCCACTGCTTTAATCAGCACATCCTTCCCTGATGTCGAAATCATCCTTCCTTTCCACCCTTGTGTCCTGTCCCTTATCCGTTCCTTGATGTAAGCAAACACAACATTCTTGGATCTCCCCACAATCGTAGGTAGTCCCAGGTATTTTTCGTGTTTTGATACTTCTCGGATACCCAAATTCTGCGCTATTTTCGTCCTTCTTTGCTGCCCCACATTGTTACTGAACGTCAACTCCGATTTCCCCAGGTTAATCATCTGTCCCGACTCTCTTTCATAGTCAAATAGAATCTGCTTTATCTTCGCACTCTCTTGATGACATGTCCTGGCAAAGAAAATGCAATCATCGGCGAATAGTAGATGTGTGACTGAAGGCCCCTTTTGGCTAACCTTAATACCATGCCAACTTCCTTCTCTTTCTGCCTTCTCTATCATTGAAGACAATCCTTCTGCACACAACAAGAATACGTATGGTGAAATCGGGTCTCCCTACCAGAGTCCCCTACTAGGAGTGATGGATCGAGTCTGGTGGCCGTTCACTAGAATTGAATATGTCATAGTCGACACACACTCCATAATAATATTAATCCAGTTCCTCTCAAAACCCAGCTTCTCCATGACTCTCTTCAAGAAGTTCCACTCAACCGGATCGTACGCTTTCGCCATATCCAGCTTCGCCGCAAAGAACCCTCGCTTCACCCTTCTGTCTTTCTTCTTCGTGGCATGGAAGCACTCGAACGCTGCCAGGGCATTATCGAAGATCGACCTTCCTGGTACGAAGGCGCTCTGGGTTTCCGAAATCAGCTTGTGAAGGATGGTTCTGAGCCGATTCGCCAAAACTTTTGATAGGATTTTGTACGAGATATTGCACAGGCTTATCGGCCGAAAATCCTTCGGTGACTTGGGTTTTTTCACCTTCGGAATTAGGCAGATCAGAGTCCGATTCATCTTCGGTGGTAGTTTCCCTTCTGCGAGAGCTTGTAGAATTTCCCCGGTCACTTGCTCTTTAACCACATCCCAGTTCCTTTTGTAAAAAATTGCCGGGACACCATCCTCCCCAGGGGCCTTCAACGGTCCCATGTGTTGTAGGGCATCCTCAATTTCCTCGGCTGTAAACGGCCGCCGCAGCCAGTCGTTCATCTCCGACGTTACTCGTCGAGGGATCATGCTTGGTGACAGTATCCCTACCTAAGTCTCCCTGGCTTTCAAACATATGCGAATAGTAATCAACCAAGCAATCACTGACCTCATTTTGACCCAGACACACCCGCCCATCTTCACTGATAAGCTTTCTGATCGTATTCCTTTTCTTCCTTTCAGACGCCCTTCTGTGGAATAACCTTGAATTCTTATCCACATAGCCAAGCCAGGATATTCTCGATCGTTGGTGCCATTTCTTCTCCTCTTGAACAAGGATCCCGGCTCGTTCAATCTCAAGATTGCGTCTTTCTTGGATCCAGTTCTCCCCTCTAGGTTTTCTCTCCAGCTCCACTAGGGATTTTTCCACCGTCCTCACCCGCTCCTTCCAACTTCCAAACTTCTCCTTGCTCCACTCGTGTAATTTCTGCTCGCAAGCCCTCAATCGCTCCGCCGTCTCAAGCGAACTACATCTTTCCCATTCTTCCTCCACAATCGTCTTGCATTCCTCCTCATCATCCCAATACAATTCATACTTGAATCTCCACCCCCATCTCACTGGTTCGGCTTCTAAACCTTCTGTGTCCAAAATCACAACTCTATGATTAGAGTAGGGCCTTTCGTGGTGACGTACCTGAGCAAAGGGATGGGCTTGAGCCCAATCCTGGTTACAAACTGCCCGGTCCAATCTCTCTTCAGTAAAGGCCTCCCCCGTGCGTGCGTTGTCCCAGGTAAACGGATACCCGACGAAGCCCAGATCCTCCAACTCAGTATCCGAAAGAGCATTTTCAAAAGCCTGCATATCCCTCTCATCCTCAAGCCTCTTACCTCTTTTCTCATTCCCAGATACTACCTGATTATATTCACCCATGACCACCCAAGCCATACTCATCTGATTATGGAGGCGTCTCAAAAGATCCCAAGACTAACTCTTATAGTCCCCTTCCGGCCACCCATAAAACCCTGTAAAGCGCCACACATTTTCGCCATCCTCGTGCTTAATAACACCGTCAATATGGTTTTGAGACATTGATTTCAGGGTAAAATCAATATTGTATCCCATAATAAAGCTAGTCCTCCTGCTATGTTCCATGCTCCCACTCCAATTCCATTGCTAAATTGGAGTCGTCGCTTAATCGTCTCCCACTTCTCGCCTGCCAATTTTGTTTCCATTAAGAAGATCATCTGGGGATGAACTCGTCTTACGAGTTCGGAGAGAGATGCCTTTGCCTCGGAACTCCCCAATCCCCGGCAATTAAGGCTTAATATTTTCATGGCGCTTGGCGGCCCTGCACCAATACAGGGTCCACCTCTGTTTGTGACGCGATTCCTCGAGCAGCCACCTTTTGTTTTTTTCCTACAGAATTGTTTTGTTCCAACGTTCCAGCCGTTTCCATTGCCAGCGTCTCCTTTCGTTTTATTCCACAGATCACCTCCTTCTCACTTCTTTCCTCTTTTTCATCTGGAACTCTAATTTTCCGAGTCCAATGGCCTCTCTTATGTCTCATGCCAATTGTATTTACCAATCCAACTTCAGTATATTCTTCTTGCTACGGGATCCACACGGCATTGGTACCCACTTTGACTGGGCTATTTTCATGAAGAGATTCCTTTAGCCCAGCCCACTCATTCCCTTCTACCTTTTTATTTCCCAGCCCATTACTAGCATCAATTTTTTCCTTCCTTGCCTGCTTTTCACACCCGCCTGGGCCCCCCGAATCTTCATCATTATTAATTTTCCTTATTTCTTTTCCAATTTCTTCTGCCACTAACTGCGCTTCAATAGGACCTCCGCTAGTCAACACCGCATTCCCCCCCCCCCCCCCCCCCCGCGAACTTCCTTTCCTGTCTGTGCTATAACAACCATCGCCCTAGGGCTTTCCATCTTTTGTTGATCTTCCCCAATAACTTCTCGTCCACTTTCCATAACCACCTCCGCCGTATCCATCAATTCCACTACCGGGTCCTTCTCCCTAATTTCCATCTTCGCTCCCAACAGATCCGCCAGCTTAATCCTCGCTTTCAGCTTTCATTTCCCAATACCCTGTGATTGCGGCGCCATGGTATCAGATTTCCTTATCTGACTCTGACCGGCGATTCTGGAGTTTTGGATTTCCGACCACAGTCCGGCCATCCGAGCTCCTTCTCACTTCTCCGATCGACTGACCTTCTTCAGGGGTGAGGCATGTAACCATTTTCCATACTGATCGTCTGATCCATCTTCGTCTGCCGCTTTTGGATTCGGACATTGTCATTGCTGATGCCAAGAAGTCCGCAATTATAACAGAATACGGGGAGCTTCTCGTACGTCGTCCTGTACTAGTTCTTCACCCCATCGATCTCTAGAAGAACTCCACGTCTTAATGGTTTTGACGCGTCGATCTGCACTCTCAGCCGCATCGAGGAACTCCATGCCCCGAACGGTAGGCGTCGAAGATCAAAAAAGTGCCAATGAGGTTGCCAATTTTCTCAGCCATTGCCACTGTGCGCATATTTCATGGTATCTTCTTGACTTTCACCCAGATCTCCAGCTCCGTGAAGTCCATATCTCCTAGATCTTTGTCACGATCAATCGGCCGAAAAATGAACGCCTGGTGGTCAAAGTGCCATGGACCACCGTACAACACTCGTTTCCAGTCTTCAGAGTTTGAGAACTGGACTGCATATATCAGTTTCTCAATCCTATGCATTTCAAACTCCTCTTTAGTATTCCACGCTTGGGCCATAACCTTGGTTAGCGTACTCAGATTTGGGTCTTTATGGGACAAGAGCTTCCCAACCAAACCTAACTCTTCCAGTGCTTCATCAGTACCACAGTTCAGATTCGCCTTCTCGACTATGATGTCGAGGGTCTCATCTTCGTTGAGGCATAGCCTCTGCAACTGAGCCTCAATTTCTTTTTCCATTACGCGCCTCGCACAACTTGAACACCCAAAAACGAACAGGGGAAAAAAGGAGACGAGCCAAGCAATCAAAGCTCACAAACGTACCAGAGAGGGTAGCCTGCAAAACAGCTACAGACAAAGCAAGGGGGCTGACCGGCGGCAGCGCAAAACAGAGTACTCCACGACAAGCGGGAAAGAAAACTTTTGTGCAATTGTTGTAAAATTTGAAGTAGGTTTGGGCATACCATGGGGGTGTACGTTGGTGACCCCCTCACCATACCATTGGGGGCATCCCCCATGGGGTCATATAGATCACCCCACTACTATATCATCCTCATGGGAGCTTGCGTTGGTGACCCCCCAGCCCCTGATCATACCATGGAGGTGCTATGTTGGTGGTCCCCAGACCACCTCATGGGGTTGCTCGTGGCTTCCATACTCCTTGCCTTAGCCAAATTCGGCCATCACCCCCCTCACCATGTCATGGGGGTGGCGGTATGATGTCCACCCCCTTGCCACGTCTTGGGGGTGGTGGTATGATGCCCACCCCCCTTGCCATGTCCTGGGGGTGGTATGATTGTGGCCATCCCTCTTGGTTCGTCATGGGGGTGGCTCCAATACTTAGCCAAATTTTGGAATAGATGGTTAGAGTGGCGCATGATGCTATGAGATTATGGGCCCAAAAAACCCAACCCACTTGGCCCATCTTAATTGATTTAATTGTTATAATTAAGTTGACCTTATATAGTCATTTAATTCATTATATTTAATCGATGTGGTACAAGATAAATTTTAGTGGTAACACTACCTATCAAACCATTTCATTTATTAAACCAACGCGACAATATAAATCGGTTTGACATTCTTGATTGATGAAGTCTCTGCGCCACGCTCCCTGAATTTGATTGGATTAAAATAGGAAAACGGCATTGAACTGCGTGTCGTAGAGAAACCATTTCCATCGTCACCTCATCTAATCTCTTGGATCCCATAAATGGCAGCAGATTTGGGCATTAAATTTTGCCACCAAACTTCTCTTCCACCTCTCTCTCTCCCTGCCTTCTTCCCTTTCCCCTTGTCTCTCGCCTTCCACCAAGATTTGCTCCAACAATAAAAGCTCTGCCCTCCCTCCATCACTTCCCTCGCTCTCCCACCAACAAATTTCTTCTCTTCTCCGAATTCCCAAAACTCGAAACATTCAGCCATGGCTGCCACCGAACTCAAGTCCGCTGCCATTCTTGATCTACTCAAGGCCTTCCTCGAAACCGAAGAAGGCCTCCAGGTCAGGAAGAAGGTCAATCTCGTCTATCAGTTTAACATCGCGCCTAAGGTCACTTCCCTAATCTTTTGATTGATGCCCTTTCTCTCTCTCTCTCTCTCTCTCTATCTATCTATCTATCTATCTATCTATCTAATTGAGTTATGTCTGCCTGATCATCTGAAATGTTTCTCCTCGACCTTCCGCAGAAAATTGGGTACGATGAGGTGATTTTCACTATTGATCTCAAGACAGGCCAGGTTACTAAAGGTTAGGGTTTTCAGTCTCTCTCTTGCTCCCCCAATCCCAATTCTTTATTCTGTTCTTGCAATTTCTGTGTATTGGAAATTTTGAAATGTCCTGTTTCTGCGGCTCTGTTCATGTATTTCAAAGGGTTCAGTATGCTGATATGAGATGCTGTTTGAATGAAATTTGGAGACTTTTCTGCAGTATATCTACTGTACCTAAGTGGGTATCCACCCAATCCAAATGAGTATGTTCTGAATTCACCCCAAATGGTATATCCTCAATCGGGTTACTTACTGCAAACTTAGAGCTGTGTCATTCCTTTTTTGGGGGTATGGTGGTATGATTGCTTACTGTGGTGCACATTGAGACACCAGAAAATAGCACTTGGGATTTGATTGTAAGGAGTTCGTTTTGGTTGTTGTGTTGTTGGGGAAGTCAGGTCCATATGAAGGAGGGAAGCCTGATGCTGTCTTTTCACTAAAGGATGAGGATTTCATGAAGCTTGCAACGGGGAAGATGAATCCTCAGATTGCTTTCATGAGGTTTGTGGCCTGCAACCAACTCTATATTGTCCTTGTACCATGCTTAGCGATTTGGTTTCTGACAATTGGGTTTTCATGTCGGATGGTTGATGCAACAGGGGAGCACTGAAGATTAAGGGCAGCCTGAGTGCAGCTCAGAAGTTCACCCCGGATATCTTCCCTAAGCCGTCGAAGCTGTAAGGACGACGATCGAGAAGCCTGCAGAGTTGGTTTGGTTGAATTTGCCTGCTTGAACTAGTGTTGTTGGAAGAATGATTCATGACTCCTTTTTTCTCGTGTAGTAGTTTGCATTACAAGGCCACAAACGCCCCAGTCTCTTCCTATCGGATTCATGTTTGAGTGCTCATTTCATCATTTGCATAGATGGGGGATAGATTGGTGTGTTTAAATAGGTCGTCGAATTTCAGAATCAAAGCACGTTCACCTTTTCCCCTTTCCAGTTTCCCAATCGTTATTATGGGTTGAGTGGTGGGGAAAAGGTGTTATTATGAAAGTCTTTCTTCTCTGCTCATTTGCTGTCAGGTTCATAAGCCTGAGTTGTGATAGATGCCTTTCATTTTCATCTATTATTGTTGGACAGATTTGGACCCATAGATGTCGTACTAGGTTTCTGGTTTGGTTGAACCCACATTTAACTCAGCCAAGCACAACCGATGCTAAGTGGTCAACAAGCAGACTGCATCAATCCACGCTGCTGTTATCTTTATGACTGGTTTGCTGTTCATTTACCTGCTGCCATTAAGCAACAGAAGACAAACGAACTCGTAGAAGTTAGAACCCTATTTTGTATCTGGGTAGACCTGCCTCATTGTTAAATCCGATTTGACTCTGCGTTCTCAAGTCTCAACAGCCATGTCCATGTGTGTGACGATCATCTTTCTTTGGGGGATGCTTTTGACGGTACATGCTCTCATTGTACTCTCGTGTCCCTCAAAAGAATGATATTTGAAAGCGCAATTGATAGCTCTTCCTTCTCTTTCTATGAAATGCAATTGATTGCTTGGTTATATTGAAGAATACAAGCCTAACCTGTTGAGTGATGAGCTATTAGCCCATGCACATGTGTGTGTACGTAGGCCTAGTACCACACCCTAGGCCGATCCTTCTCCTCCCATTCTCGGCTAGGGTTTGTGGAATTATGTATATATGTAACATGTACCATGTTCTGGAGATAATACGAAAACCACCAAAAACCGCCTTTGTGTCGTGGATTAGTCTCGACTATCATAATGTCGAGGATACCACGTCAATCTGTGTCTTTCTGTTTCGATTACGTACGTTTCGATTATATCTCTGTTTCGGATGAGTTAACATGGTATCAGAGCTTACGAGTATGGAATCTGATCAGATGTCCACCCGCCTCAACTCTAAGAACTAAGCCATATGGGCGTTTCAGTTTCGAACAATGATCGAAGGGAAGGGTTATCTTGGCCATCTCGATGGTACGTCTGCGCGTCCTGTTGTTCCGCCCTCGACTGATCAGGAGCTCGCTAAATGGGTCCAGAACGACGCCAAGGTGCGCTCGCTGCTTCTGAATTCGGTGGATCCCACCATTCTTCTAGGTCTTCGTTTACTCTCCTCTGCTGCCGCCATGTGGAAATCATTGGCCGATACTTATGCCTGCACCAGCAACAGCCGCCAGTTTGAGCTCGAAGACGAGCTTGCAGCCCTACACCAAGGTAATCTCGACGTAGCTTCCTACTTCAACGCTGCTCGTCTTTTATGGACCGAATAGGACCTGCTGTCCGCGTCACTCCTTTCACATCCATTGCCACCAGATGCTCAAGATGAACGCAATAAGATCCGTATTATTCAATTCCTAATGCGCCTGAAGCCCGAGTTCGAACCTGTTCGGGCCACCTTGCTCAACCAAGAGAAGCTGCAATTTGAAGGAGTTCTCGACAGCCTTATTCGCGAAGAGACCCGTCTTCGAACGCAAGCCAATCTGGATGCTCGCCCGAGCCATGGCGTTGTCGGCGTGTTCAGTTCTCTCTCGGGCGGGGCTGCTGCTGCTGGTCGCTCCTTCCCCACCAATTCTGATGCTCTCGCTTTTGCCGCTTATCGCCCTCAATTTCAGCGGCCAAACTTGTCCAAGGTCGAGTGCCATCACTGCAAGGAACGTGGGCATACCCAGAAGTACTGTAAAGTCCGTAAATTTTGCGTTTACTGCAAAAGGAAAGGACACATCATTGCTGAATGCCGCACTCTCCAACGACACATGGCGGGACCTCGGTTGGTGACGGCGCTGGGAGCAGTGTTGGGTTCCGGGGTCCTTCCCCGCCAATTCTGATGCTCTCGCCTTTGCCTCTTATCGCCCTCAATTTCAGCGTCCAAACTTGTCCGAGGTCGAGTGCCATCATTGCAAGGAACGTGGACATACTCAGAAGTACTGTAAAGTCGGATCCGTAACTTTTGCGTTTACTGCAAAAGGAAAGGACACATCATTGTTGAATGCCGCACTCTCCAACGACACATGGCGGGACCTCGGTTGGTGACGGCGCTGGGAGCAGTGTTGGGTTCCGGGGTCCTTCCCCGCCAATTCTGATGCTCTCGCCTTTGCCTCTTATCGCCCTCAATTTCAGCGTCCAAACTTGTCCGAGGTCGAGTGCCATCATTGCAAGGAACGTGGACATACCCAGAAGTATTGTAAAGTCCGTAACTTTTGCGTTTACTGCAAAAGGAAAGGACACATCATTGCTGAATGCCGCACTCTCCAACGACACATGGCAGGCGGGACCTCGGTTGTTGACGGCGCTGGGAGCAGTGTTGGGTTTCGGGGTCCAAGTCTTGTAGCGCCAGCAACTCCCACTCGGCCAGCCTGCGCAATGACCCAATCCACTCCTGCGGTAGCGGCAGCTCCTAATTCCGAAGGGGTGCTGGTGACTTCGGCCACTCTGGAACAGATGATGAATAAGGCTATCTCCTTCGCCTTTGCGAGCCTACAAATGTAGGGTAAGATTCCTACCTGAATATTGGATTCGACATGTTCTAATCATATGACTAGTAATCGTTCTGTGCTTAAAGATCTTTCTCTTGTTCATGATTTATCTCTACAAGTTGCGGATGGTGCTAAACTACAGGTTTCTGGTGTTGGTTCGGTTAATAGCTCTCGTGTTCATTTACCTGATACTCTGCATGTTCCTCGTCTTGTTCCTAACTTGGTGTCTGTTGGCCAACTTACTGAACAAGGTCGTCGTATTGTTTTTGCACCGTCTGGCTGTGTTATTCAGGATCTGACGACGGGGAGGGAGCTCGGGAGGGGTAGCAAGCGCGGCCGCATATTTGAGCTGGACGAGTTGGCTTCCCCATTTTCCATCTCGCGGTCATCATCATCGAGCTCTTCTTCGGTGTCTAGGGTGTCTCCTTTTCCTGTTTTTTCGAGTCTGGGTGAACAAAATTTTCAGTTGTAGCATTCTCGGTTAGGTCATCCTAATTCTCATCTGTTTGAGACTATGTTTTGACAACATTTGTTTGGTAAATCTCATCCACCTGGGCATATTTCTGATTTTAAGTGTACTAGTTGTGTGGAGGCTGAAACCACTCAGATCTCTTTCCCTTCGAGTACTACTACTATTGCCGAACCTTTTCATATGGTCCATACTGATTTGTGGGGTCCGAGTCGTAATACTTCTCGTCATGGTTATAAATATTTTGCCTTGTTTGTCGATCATGTTACTCGCTATACTTGGGTATATTTTTTGCGTCTCAAATCTGATCTCCTTGGTTTCGCCACTGAATTCCTCACCATGATCCAGACTCAGTTTAATAGACCAGTCTGTGTAGTCCGTTCCGATCCCGGTGGTGAGTTTAGTTCTTCCCCTCTTCTTAACCTATACAAATCCTGAGGTATTCTTACCCATAAATTCTGTCCTGGTGTGTCTCAACAAAACGGTTTGGTTGAACGAAAGAATCGTCATGTACTTGAAGTCACTCAAGCACTACTTTTGGCATCCCATGTTCCCACGTCCTTTTGGCCCTTACCTGTTTCCACTGCAGTTCGGCTTATCAACTACCAGATCACTTCTCTTCTCAATGATACCAGTCCTTTCTATCGTCTCTTCTCTAAGCATCCTCCCTATTCCCGTCTTCGTGTTTTTCGGTGTATTTTTTTTGTTCTTCTTCCTCGTTCTGAACGAACTAAACTTACTTAAAAAACGGCACGTTGTGCTTTCCTAGGCTATACTGATGTCTATAAGGGCTATCTCTATTATGATCCTAATCTTTGTCGTCTTAGGATTGCCTGCAATGTGTTCTTTTTTGAAAATATTATGTTCTATTCTTCCACCTCGTCGAGTCCTCCTTTGTTTGATGAGTCGTTAAGTCTTCCGTCTTTTCCTGATGATGATGACGTTGCCACTGATCCTGGTCCGCAGCTCGATGATCCCCCCCCCCCCCCCCGACGGCGCCTTCACCACCTCCTCCACCGTCTCCTCCTCCGCTGCGCCGGTCCAACCGTACCACTCTGGGTCAGCCCCCGATTCATCTCCAAGACTATGTCTCCTACAGTGCGGAATCGATCCCAATTCCTACTCGGTTTTCTCAGGCCCAGGGTGACCCGAACTGGGATGGCGACATGCATGCCGAGTTTGATGCTATCGACGCCAATAAAACATGGTTTATTGTTCCTCGTCCTCCTCCACCAGTTTCGGTCATTGGCATTCGTTGGGTATATAATCTGAAGTTTTTACCAGATGGCTCTCTTGAATGTTTCAAGGCGCGTGTGGTGGCTCAAGGTTTTTCACGGGTGTATGGTATTGATTTTGAGGAGACCTTTGTCCCTGTGGCAAAGATGGTGTCTATTTGTTCTTTTCTGCCTGTGGCATCTATTCGAAAATGGCCTCTTTATCAGCTTGACGTCAAGAATGCTTTCCTGCATGGTGATCTCAAGGAGACAGTGTACATGGAGATTCCTCCTGGTTATCCGCATGGAAATCGTACTGATCAGGTGTGTTTGCTTCATCGCTCTCTCTACATCTTGAAGCAGGCTCCACGTGCGTGGTTTGAGAAGTTTCAGTCCACTATTCTGAGCCTTGGTTTTCAGCAGAGCCTTAATGATCCATCCTTGTTTACTCGGCGCTCTCCTCGTGGTCTGGTTGTGCTTCTCTTATATGTTGATGATATGATCGTTAGTGGGGACGATGCAGAGGGTATTTTGGCCCTCACTCAGGGCCTTCACGAGTCTTTTAGCTTGAAGGAGTTGGGCTCCCTATCTTACTTTCTTGGTCTGGAGGTTGACCTCCTTGACTCTTCTTGTTTTTTCAGACTGTATTCCTGTATCTACTCCTATAGAGCTTTACCAGAAGTTGGGAAGGGAGACAGACACTTTGCTGAGTGATGGTGGTAAACATTATCAGAGTATTGTTGGTAGTTTAATTTATTTGACATCGACCCGTTCGGACATAGCTTATGCCATTCAGATCGTCAGTCAGTTTATGTCCGCACCTCGTACTGCTCATATGGATGTGGTCCTTCGGATTCTGCGCTATCTACAGGGGACACGCAGTGTTGGATTGTTCCTTCCTGCTACAGGTTCATTTGTACTACAAGCCTTCTCTGATGCTGATTATGCAGGATGTATCGATACCCTCTGCTCGGCTAGTGGATGGTGTGTCAGATTGTGTGATTCATTTATATCTTGGAGGTGTAAGAAATAGGAACGAGTTTCTAAATCCTCCATAGAGGCAGAATATCGAGCTATGTCAGAAGTTACCTATGAGTTAGAATGGATTCGCAGATTGCTTGGTGATCTTGGTGTCGAGTGTGAGGTTCCCATGCAGCTCTATGTTGATAATACAAGTGCAATTCGGATTTCCACCAATCTAGTCCTTCATGATCGTACTAAACACATCGAGGTGCATGTTCACTACATCA